GAAGCAAAAATTTTAATTGCGAAGGGGAGAATCGCATCGCAAACATGCTTGCATTGTTGCTTACATTAGTTAGAAGACACCGCATTTTGTCAGCGTCTTCACTGAATACACTAATGTGATCGGCACACTCTAATACAACAAGCGAGTCTTCTAGTAGAGAAGGTCAATTTCTCTAAAGTGAGACTATGAAAGCGTCATATCTAAGAGCGTGTCAATGACAAGGTTTCATAAGAATAGAGAAACTGGACAACCCTGATCAGCATCACTTGAACTAATTTCTTCCGATGACAGTTTGCCATAAGATCTGACTCGGTTCGTAGTGTTTGGGTAGATAGGTTGCATATAGTTAATGTTCTTTTGTACACCTTTCAATGACTGATCCTGCCCTAGAACCTCATGATCAGGAGAGTCTGATGCCCCTTCAAGTTCAAGGAATACAACTTTAGTGAGACCGTGAAATGCGTATCTTCGTTTCAGGACCTGACGAAGGGTGAATATATGGTGTATACTAGTCTATAACCTTTTCGACTGCATTAAAGTTTGGAGGATTTACATCAATTAGCCATTCTTGTTGACTAGAGATCGTGGGCAACCGAAGAGTGGCTGAAGGCCAGTTGAGCTGATCCGTTAAGTTTTGTGCACATCGATCTAACCTCATTCTGTGCCTCGAAACGAGTCAGTCTTCTATCGAGCCTCTCTATCGGTGGATGATAGTGATGTTATCTAGTTGGGTTCAACGGTGTGACGACTTTAGTGATCTTCATATCAAAATGTGTTCTTCCTTAAGCTTAGGGTTAGTTAGTATTTGTTAGAAATGGGTGGTTATTTGAGCATAGCTGCAACAGACGTTCTCTATTACCTGTAATTTAAGCGACGACACCATAAGATCCACCCTGGTGTCTTTCCTTTTCACTTAGTCTACCTACCTGATCATTGAGGTCACATGCTGCTGCTTAAGGCCGGTCGCGCATGGCTTTTTTATAAGAAGCTTTTGAGGTGTTAGCTCTGTTGTTCAAGTGGCCTTACCACAGAAGACGTAAATCTGTGAGATAAAGTGAGGTGTGACATGATTCCAAATCGTTTACAGTGGTATAGCTGTATCCATTGTTTGTCTTCACTTAAATTTCTAATCTTTTGAATTGCTCATAACCTATTTTCTTTTTTCAAAAATTGATTTCACTGGTTTATACTTCTTGAATAATATTACCGCTAACACTTTTATTCCCTTCTACTACAATGGGATTTTAATTGATGACTGAATCTCTTGTATGGTAACTTGAAATGATCTACTGTTAGCCAATTTTCACGTATTCTGTGATGATTCATTTAATTTATTAAGCTGAAATAATTTTCGCTTTCATCATTTAGTTACTGAAAGATTTACACATTTGAAATCATCAATCAGTCATTATTAGACTTCCATTAGAAACCTGGAAGCACTGAAAGACGGCCGTTTCGTCCTGGTATAGGACTCATCAGTGGCAGTGCGCATCCACGACTCCTGTACCTCGCAGGATTCGAAATCGGGACCTTCGGTTTTGTGCGCAAACGCCCAACCATCGGACAACTGGGCCGGTATCCAGCAGTGTTAATGTCTAACTCTGAATGGTCTACTGATTTTGCGTGACCTCACCTATTTGTCTTTGGTAGTTAGTGCTGCCTACGGGGTTGAACTCTATTGGTCACGTCTTCTCAACTAGAACTCTGAGCATTTCCTCACGAAGTTAGTCACTACTGAGCAATGTTACGACATTTTCAGTTAGAGCTTTGGAGATTTGTGTTTGTACACATTTGAAATCATCAATCAGTCATTGTTAGACCATCATTAGAAACCTGGAAGCACTGAAAGACGGCCGTTTCGTCTTGTTATGAGACTCGTCAGAGGCAGTGCGCATCCACGACTCCTGCACCTCGCATTATTCGAACCCAGGACCTTCGGTATTGTGCGCGAACACCAAAACTTCGGACCACTGGGCCGGCATTCAACAGTGTTAATGTCTAACTATGAATGATCTACGGATTTTGCGAGACTACTGCATACACTCGACAGGGTTTAACTCTTTTGGTCACATCTTCTCAACTAGAACTGTGAGAATTTCCTCACGAAGCTAGTCACTAGTGAAAGATTATTGAAATGATCATTTGATTATGAAGAGTTTGACAATACATCATTCTAACTGTCCAATCATCATCTATCTACTTCTTACGACTTATTCTTTTTATATACACCATTATTCTTACTGATGATGATTCATGTTTTAGGGCTGCAATGAAAATGGCAAATATCGACTCAATATTTAATGGAATGTTTACAACGGCTGCTCCGAAAAATGTAAGTGTAATTTTGTTTGTTTGATTGAGTTCAATGGAAAATATTCATTTTTTGATACATTTCATTATTATGTTTTGCATCGGTACCTGAACTAGTGAGAGGAAGTGAAGTAGTCGAGCGTGTTGATCGTTTCACTTATCTGGGGAGTCTCATCAGCGCTGATAGCCTGGTGACTGATGAGGTCTCAGCTCGGATACAGAAGGCTCGATTGGCTTTTGCCAACCTGCGTCACTTATGGCGTAGGCGTGATATCCGTTCGCTAACCAAAGGACGAGTGTACTGCGCAGTAGTTCGCTCCGTTCTTCTATACGGATGTGAAACATGGCCGTTAAGAGTAGAAGATGTTCGTAGGTTACTAGTATTCGATCATAGATGTTTAAGAAGCATTGCTCGTATATCGTGGGACAACCAAGTAAGCAATGCTGTCGTTAGGAAACGAGTACTAGGTAAGGATGGCAGATCAATAGATGAAGTATTGAAACTTCATCAGTTGAAGTGTTTGGGACATGTGTTACGTATGCCTAACCACCGACTGCCTCGACGAGCTATGTTTTGCAGTGTAGGAGTAGGTTGGAAGAAAGCTAGGGACGGCCAGACCAAAACATAGCACAAATCCATGAAGTCACTGACTAGTGGACTAAGTCATGTTGGTAGATGTAGGCTACCTGGTTGTGGTCCGCGAGACGATAGTCACCAATGGTAAGAGACCTTGAATGACATGGCTCAAAATCGTTTGCAATGGCGCTAGTGCATCCACTCTTTGTGTTCTCTGTAATTTTACCTTCTGAATTCCTCATCATCTCTATCTTTCTCCTTGTAAATCTCACTGAATTATACTTCTCAAATGATATCTTCACTCCTTACTACTAATACTTCTACTATCTCTCACTCTTGGACTTGAACTGACAGTTGTGTCCCCGTGTTGACGTGGTATGGCAACCTGAACTGATATACTTATGTACGAAGTTCTGCGGTGTATCTGTTTGTCTGTCTGTCTTAAGGTCCACGAAGACGTCTATTGTAGGACGCCTAAATGTATGCCTGTGTTCCTGGACCTGTCTGAGTGTGAAGATGTGGTCTATACAACCACGTCCAGGTCGAAAACCAGCTTGGTTTTCTCCAGTTTGCTCTTCACGAGCTCTAGTTATACGTCTAAGTATTATTGAGGCCAATATTTTAGAAACTTTATTAGTTAGACTTATTCGCCATGTGATTGTCACAAGAAGACTTTTGTCCTTTCTTATAAATTGGGACAATCAGTGATTGAGACCAATCGGATGGAATTGTGTCCAGTTCCCAGATTCTACCTAAGATTTCAGTCAATCTAGCTGCTAAAACTAGTCCACCATCATTTTAATTCTCAGGAGTCAATCTATCGTGTCCTTGCTGCTCTCTCCTATATGCTTTTCAACCTCATAAAGATTCAGAGGACTTAGGTCGATTTGCCATTCAGGATGACTCTGGAGATTGTGAGTAACCCAAGTTTGGCTGAAGGTCAGTTGAACTGATCGTGAAAGTGTTCTGCCCATTGATCCAATCTCGTGGATTGAGAATAAATGATACAGGCATCCTTTTCCGAAATAGTCTCCTTCACACTTGGGTTCCTAATACCAGTTTCCTTTGATGAGTCTGAATAGTTTGCACATTATAATTACAATAACATGTTTTCTAATTGTAAATTTTTATTGTATTTCCTAATATCACTTTTACCTTTTCTGTTGTTTATTATAAAAAACATAAGGATATCTTATATTTTGCTGATATATGCGCTGGTCCAGGTGGTTTCTCTGAATATATTTTATGGCGACGATGTAATGCTCCATATTGTATGCAGTCATCAAGAGAGTTGAACAACAACACTGACAATCCAACCAACGTTAATCATCATCACAATGGTGATACAATAGGCGAAGATACAACTACATTAATTGATCCAATGAATTCTAGCAATGCGGCATCAATGAATTCACAACATCAACCAGTATTATCAGCTAAAGGATATGGTTTAACTTTAATTGGTTCATGTGATTTTCGTGAGAATGATTTTTTAGCTGGTCCAAAAGAAGCTTTTATGGCACATTATGGTGCAGCTAATGATGGTGATATAACAAAATGGTCAAATTTAGCATCATTTGCATCATTTATTGGTCGTAGTACAAATAATACCGGTGTACATATTCTCTTGGCAGATGGGGTTAGTTTCAGTAATATGTTTATATAAATGTATATATATATATATATATATATTTATTCTGCTGACTATAGAAGGATGTGATAATAGAAAGGTGTTTCCTTTGGACAGTCAGCATCTGCAGCAATGCTGCCTTCTCACATCTCTAAAGGGTTAGGAAAGTGCAACCTTAAATATCTCATACCTCTCCTTACTCCGTTGGTTTCTATCTTGGATGTAGCTATCACTCTTGATGCTTATCATACAAACATCATGCGTGACTGGTCTCAAGCACTTGGTCTCTTGAGCTTTGCTTTCATGATCCTTGGGTTGCTATGACTAACACTAACCCAGTTGACTTTTCAGGTTTGTCCGTAGCTGCTACCTTGACGTGGTGGTCGGGCTTGCCTATCATGATGATCCTACTGAGCCATATTGGCTGGAACATATGTTCCTGAACGTTCTACGATGCCAGACAGGTCGATTGGAGAACGATGAGACTAAAAGCAGCTACTCAAGGTCTGAGGGTGAAGTCGTAGTGCTGACTGCAGAGGGGTGTGACAGCAGTAAGGTGTTTCCCTCGGACAACCAGCATCTGCAGCGATGCTGACGTCTCACAAGGAAGGAAGGGATAGAAAAGGTCAACTCTAAAAATGTCACACCTCACCTTACCTCATAGAATTACGTCTCCGTCGGTACGGATGCCCACTAAGGGCTTATAAGAACGGAGCTATTACTCAAAAAACCTCTCATAAGAAGGCCGTGCGTGACCGGCCTCAAACAGTTGTCCCCTGAGCTCCGTGGTCACGCAACCAGGTCGCTAAGATCAACACAAATATATCTTCCTTTTCAGGTCCCTCAAGATACAACCTTCCATGGTGTGGGCAGCCGGGAAGTGACAACCGCCCTCATACCCGTAACAGCACACGAGACCAAATTGTTCGTAATCAAATCTGATAATCAAGCTAACTACCATATCAACGACATACAAAACGCTAAAATCGACTTTGCCGCTGGATTATATGTGCCTAGACAGAATGCAGTCAAGTAGTGTATAAATATTGTTGCTTTTAAATTACGTGTACATTAGCTACGCGAACTGAATCATTTAAAAGTTTTGATGAGACTTGAAGAGACTTAAGGAATTTATAACTGTTTATCATGATATTTCATTAAAAGACAGAAGTGTACAGATAGTAGTAGTACTAAGAATAATAAAATACGATAACAAAAGTTTTTATCAATAAGTGTATAGATAAATTGTGGTGCGCGCTACTTATAAGTAGTATATGACGCGAGTGTAAACGTAATGTCTGGCAGCAGAAGATGGGTGGAATATCAAGAAAGGAAGAAGAGTGGGAACACAATGGAATTTGTATGAAACGCATGAATAGTGAAATGTCCGTCAATGGATTGATGATGGATTGGATTAAAGATTTGCAAATTAACGATTTACGATATGGTTTTCCTATTTTACTGAGTAACTCTGTAATTTTCGTTAAATACAATTCGGTTGCACTCACCTGTGTTCTCCTTCACTACAAAATAAATAGACTTACAAAACATTGGAACCATTACGTAATAAGATAGTGAATAATATAAACGGGAAGAGGCAGAGAATTACCAACAATTACAGGATGTGAAAAATAGTGCTAATAATAACAAACTAAAATTTTAAACCAGAAAAAAAATTTCAAACCGTTAGTTACGTCATATCCGGCCACGGAAGAGATAGGCATGTCACAAATTTCTTCCGAACACATAAATTCGAGTTGAATGTACGAATTCCTATAGCCTCTGCTGTATATGTAGGAGACGGGATCGAACTCCATTGGGAAATGATGGAGGTATACGATAGATCACTCGAAAAAGATCTAGACTTATCTACAATATGACCATTATCAACCAGTTGTGTTAAGATAGAAGAACTGCGTCTTGGAACTTACAAAACATACAATAAGCAAGCACATCAGAAAACCAGTAATTAAATGAATGAATAATTATTGGGATGGAGGTCTGTACATTTTAAAAGTGTTAATCGATATGTGGATAAAGTTCTCAATGACCTATGTGTATAACCAATTGAAGAATAGATAAAAATTTGAGGTTCAGGCGTGCGCTCAATGATACTGACGTAATTATACACATGAAGCATCATATGTGTAGTTTATAGTAAGAAGGTAATAAAATCAGAAGGCTTTCTGTAGCGACAAATCTCGTGTGTGATTTCGTCATTTACTGTTACGGATATAAGGGCGGATGTTACTGGAAGGCTGTTTCTTGAGGAACCTGGAAAAGAAGTCGGATTAGTGTTGGTCTTACAAACCTAAGGACATGACCACAGAGCCCAAGTTGGAGCTGCTTGAGGCCAGTCACGCATCGCCTTTTTATGTGAAGTTTTTAAAGTGTTAGCTCTGTTCTTGTTTAAAAAAAGGTGCTACCGCCGGAGACGGAAATCCATGACGTAAAGTGAGGTGTGACGTGCTAATTGTCCGATTAAAACACCTTACCACTGTTACATCTCTCTACAGTCAGAAGTACGATTTCGCTCTCAGACCTCGAGTTGATGCTTTTAGTCTGAACTTTTTCCAATCGAACTGTTTGGTATGATAAAACTTACGGGAACATAGAGGTTTCTCATTACAATAGACAAGCGCACTTCGTCAATGATCAGTATTGGGAACAACCTAATGGGATAATTGTTACTTCTTTTTTGTTCACATTTTAGGATTTCGATGTATCTGGTCAATATAATTTACAAGAAGTAATGTGTAAACAATTATATTTGTGTCAATGTTTATGTGCATTAATCAATCTTAGACCAGGTAAGTAAATAGTGTGAATAGTGTGAAACTTTTGTCTGCTGCTTATTTTTCAGTCTGACTTATAAATTTGTAAGTGAGATAAGATAGCGTCTGGCTACTGAAACCCGGTAGCACTGCGGTGCGAGCTACTTATAAGTAGTATATTACGTGAGTGTCAACGTAATGTTTGGCGGCAGAAGATGGTGGAAGATCAAGAAAGGAAGATTTAGAAAACAATAGAATTTGTATGAAACTCATGAATAGTGACAATGGATTGATGTTTTGCAACAGGAACAGTCCAGTTCGATATGATGAACTGATATTTTGCAAATTATCGATTAACGATATGGTTTTCCGATTTTACTGAGGTTAAATACAATTCGGTTGCTCCACCTGTGTTCTCCTTCACTACAGCACGTGTAGCATCTTACTCCCCGTTCTTTTGACCTACAAGTTTAGTCCTAAATGGTTACTAGAAATAGAACTGTATACCAGTTGTTTCCTCATAATTATTCACTCCATATGCATTGTTAATTAGGAATAAGGGTTTTCCGACCGACGTCAGTGAATCCTCTCTATTCAACAAACCAGTTTAAACCTCTGCTTTCATTCCCGTAAACCACAGTTGTCCACCTACAAGGAGGCGGTGAGTAGGACTTCCTTGTCAGTAGCTATTTGAGAGAATTTCATGAAAAGAGTAAACTTTCCTGTCTCAATTTCTAAAGGTAATTACCCGACTTTGGCTTCTACCATGATGTGGTGTTCGGGTTTGCATATTGATGAACTTATGTCAGTCACTCAGTCAGCTGCAACGTAGAACTTCGTACGTATGTACATAAGTTCATGTTTCCATACCACCTTAGCACAGAGACACAAATGTCAAATCAAATCCCATAGTGATAGTAAAGATAGTAGAGGTATTAACGGTAATGAAGAAGACTAGGGTTTGAAGGTATTATTGAAGAAGTATAATTCAGTGAGATAAGGTTAGAAAGACAAAGGCGTAGAGGTGCTTACGAATCCAGAAGATTAGGATTTGAGAGAGCACAACGAATGGATACACTTGCGCCATTGCAAACGATGTTGAGCCATGTCGTTGTTCAAGGTCTCTAACCATTGGTGACTTTTGTCTCGCGGACCCCAACCAGGTAGTCTACATCTACCAACATGACTCAGTCCACTTGTCAGTGACTTCATGGATTTGTGCCATGTTTTGGTTTGGCCACCCTTAGCTTTCTTCCAACCTACTCCTACACCACAAAACATAGCTCGTCGAGGCAGTCGGTGGTTAGCCATACGTAACACATGTCCCAACCACCTCAACTGATGAAGTTTCACTACTTCATCTATTGATCTGCCATCTTTACCTAGTACTCGTTTCCTAACGACAGCATTGCTTACTCGGTTGTCCCACGATATACAAGCAATGCTTCTTAAACATCAATGATCGAATACCAGTAACCTACGAATATCTTCTACTCTTAACGGCCATGTTTCACAGCCATATAGGAGAACGGAGCGAACTGCTACGCAGTACACCCATCCTTTGGTTAGCGAACGGATATCACGCCTACCCCATAAGTGATGAACTGATGTACGTCCGTCCGAAGCTCTCTATGTTACTCAACCTGATTAACTAACTAAACTAACCTGAATTAACGTTGAATGCAAATATTAAATAATTATTCTGCTTACTTTTTTTTCTCTTCTAAATCAATCGATCAATCATTTTTAGGTGGACATTTTTTAATGAAACTATTTGATACATTCACTGAATTCACAATCGGCATCATTTATTTAATGGGTTATTTATTTGAAGAAATTTACATTATCAAACCGGTAACTAGTCGACCAGCTAATTCGGAACGGTTAGTTGTTTGTTTTTTGCATTTCATTTCATTGTATTACGGTGTTGTGAAGATTGTTAAGTTACACATTTTTGAAACCATGAACCGATCAATGTTAGACCACCATTAGAAACTTGGAAGAAGCACTGGAAGACGACCGTTTCGTCCTGGTATGGGACTCATCAGAGGCAGTGCGCATCCACGAGTACTGCACCCCGCAGGATTCGAACCCAGGACCTTCGGTATTGTGCGCGAACGCCGTAACTGATAGACCACTGAGCCGGTATCTAACGGTGTGAATGTCTAACTTGATCAAATTCACGGAGTTGCGCAACCTCATACACAGTCTTCGGTAGTTATTGTCTACACCCGAACAGGTTGAACTTCACTGGTCACGTCTTCCCATTGTATTAAACATAATGGACTAAATTTCCGCATTGTTATTTATTATTAAAGGATTTTGTTTGAGATCAATCTCTATTGGTAGTTTGCTCAAGATATATATATGTATATATATGTATGTGTGTCAATAGAATCTGACCATTAGCAGTCGTGTCATCAGTCCTGATGGCCTTGTGTCTGATTAAATCCTAGCAAGGTTACAAAAAGCTCGATTGGCTTTTTGCCAACTTGAGTCACTTATGGAGTAGGCGAAATATCCGTTAGCTAACAAACGGGTTGATAGTTGCTTAGGTTACTAGTATTCAATTTGATTTTGATTTTAGCCAATTTGATCTCGTGTGCTGTGACGAGTATGAGGGCGGTTGTCACTTCCCGGCTGCCCACACCGTGGAAGGTTGTTTCTTGAGGAACCTGAAAAGGAATATAGATTAGTGTTGGTCTTAGAGACCTGGGTGCGTGACCGCAGAGCTCAGGGGACAACTGTTTGAGGCCGGTCACGCACGGCCTTCTTATGAGAGGTTTTTAGAGTAATAGCTCCGCTCTTAAAAGCCCTAAGTGGGCACCCCTACTGATGGAGACGGAAATCCGTGAGGTAGAATGAGATGTGACATTTTTAGGGTCGACCTTTTCAAACCCTTCCTTCCTTGTGAGAAGGCATCACCGCTGCAGATGCTGGTTGTCCCGAGGAAAACACTACTGCCGTCACACCCCTCTGCAGTCAGCAGTACGACTTCACCCTCAGACCTTGAGTAGCTGCCTTTAGTCTCATCGTTCTCCAATCGACCTGCCTTGCATGACAAAACATACGGGAACATATGTTGCAGCCAGTATAGCTCGGTTGTATCATGACGATAGGCAAGCCCGACCACCACGTCAAGGTAGCAGCTACGGTGTTCTCTTAAATCCTAATCTTCTGGATTCTTCAACACCTCTAGTTTTAACTTTCTAAACTTTTCTCACTGAATCATACTTCTTGAATAATATCTTCTAATCCTAACCTCTCCGATTACTTCTGATACCTTTACTACCTCTTCTACTATTGGATTTGAATTTATAATTATATCTCTGTGCTAATGTGGTATGGCAACATGAACTGATGTACTTACGTACGAAGTTCTACGTTGCATCTGACTGACTGACTACTAGTATTCAATCGTAGGTGTCTTAGAACCATTGGCCGAATATCCTGGAACTTTTAAGTAAGTGTTGTTGTTAGATAACTGGTACAGGATGAGGATGGCAGATCAGTTGATGAAGTAGCAAAAGTTTATTAGTTGAGGTTGTTGGGACATATGCAACGTATGCCTAACCATTGACCGCCCTAATGAGCACTGGTTTTGTAGTGTAGAACGGGACTGTAAGAAAGCTAGGGGTGGCCAAACCAAAACATGGCACAAACCTATGAAGTCATTAGCAAGTGAACTGAGACACATGTTGGTAGGTGTAGTCTATTTGGTTGGCGTCCTTAAAAAGATAGTAACCGATGATTCGAGACCTTGAATGACATGGCTCGAATTCGTTCTCAATGGCTCTGGTGCATTCGTTCTTTATGTTCTCTCAAATCCTAACCTTCAGAGTTACTCATCGCCTTTATCTTTTTCATTCTAAATTTATCTCACTGAATTATCTTTCCTGAGTAATATTTTCGAACCGTAATCTTCTCCTTTGCTGCTAATAATTCTCTGTTAGGATATTCATCCAATATCCTAAGAGAATTATTGGTCAATTCCTGTTGGTTAATTCCTACTGGCCAATTTTATGGTCGTCCTAGATATCAATGTCACGTGCTCCAATGTTGTTTCTTATTGGTTGTCCTGACTATCAATATCACCTCAAATGTTGCTTCCTATTGGTCGTCTTAACTGTCAATGTCACAGACTTCGATGCTGTTTCCTAATCGACCAAGATATATAAATACGCATTATCCGTAACGTTTTATGACCAGGACCGGCTCTCGGATCCCTAGTCCGGGATCCTGATTCTCTTCTGGATTCGGACCTTGTACTTTCTGGATGCTTGTAGATTACAGGTTCCACTTCATATCGGATTAGAGTTGCATGTCGTGTCGCCGGCTCGTCAATTCTTGCTCTCATTTTCCGACTAAGTAAACTCGTAATATTTCAAGCATATCAAGTTGACATGTTCATGTGCAGGCGTAACATTCTACTTTCGCTACCACTCTGCGATTTGATTTGACAGTTGCGTCTCTATGCTAATGTAGTATGGCAACTTTAACTGATGTGTGTAGGTACGAAGTTCTACGTTGTAACTGACTGACTGCCTTTCTTTACATAAAATAACTTCATAAATAATGAACTATTTGCATATATTTCGCATCGTTTGTTTTGTGTTTACGAGATTTACGTATGGAATAGTATGGAAAGTCTTAGAATCAAGTCATTGCATACGGAAAATCTGCGTAAATGAATTGAAGAACAGTGATTCCAAATCAATGCTTCACATGGGCTTTATGACCATGAGGGAACAAATGTCGTATCAACCTATTGTACTAATAATTATGCGTTGAAATCAATGAAAAGTATCCGAGTTATAAAGTGTATGATTAGACTCTCAGCATGTATACGTGGAATAAATTCTTGCAGTGAGATACCCGATGTCTTGTATTTCTAGATTCGTCTCTCTCCTTCTATAATACTATTGTTACATATTTGTAAATGTTGGTTATCATAACTTTGTTGTCAAACGCTGAGTTTATCACTTTACTAATCAACCTGATTAGTAGGGTAGGATCTGAATAAACGTTTATTTCAGTCACTATATCTCGATCAAGTCGACATCATTCATGATGAACATTTTTTGCATCAGTCAAAATGGAACTGCATGAAATCAAGCACACTGGAGAGAGTAAGAAGTATGAAACAGCAGTAGTTGAAAATCATAGTAATATTCCAAAGTATAATTGAAGTTGATTTGTGTTAGTAGACTGTGGTAATCATTGTAGTGAACGAGAACTCAGGTGGGGCAACCGACTTGCATTTAACGAAAATTACATAGTTACTCAGTAAAATAGGAAAACCATATCGTAAATCGTTAATTTGCAAAATATCAGTTCATCATATCGAACTGGACTGTTCCTGTTGCAAAACATCAATCCATTGTCACTATTCATGTGTTTCATACAAATTCTATTGCGTTTTAACTCTTCCTTTCTTGATCTTCCCCCATCTTCTGCTGCCAGACATTACGTTGACACTCACGTAATATACTACTTATAAGTAGCTCACACCACACTATAACTAGTATTACTTCGAACTGTTTATTTATTAAAACAAAAATAAATCAGTACAAAAGGGCATCTGAATATTTATACATCACAAAAATTGTTGAATTTGTGAATGAGTCGGGATTCTGTCAGATGCTTAGACTGAAGCAGTTGGTCTACGTCATAGCTCACTCCCTGAACCTTTGATCTAGGAGCAACATTGGATGCTGTCATGTAGAAACCAGTATTTAAATCAGTGTGAACTCTGAGTACAATGGATGATAAAGTTTTCAGAGTTCAACTTAGTCACGGAATAAAGTACAAAGCAATTATTGTTGTGCACGACAAATCAAACAGACACATCATATTTAGGTATCCAATGTATGTGAATACGCGGATCAGGTACTCTAAATTATTCGATACAACTTTCAGTTCATTAGTCCTTGTCTGTATTCATTAATTTATTTAAACATGTAAAAATTCGGACACTATGTTGTAGTGCTTGCTTAAATGATTCCCAGCTAATTCCTATTGCTTAATATTCTCTGACCACACAATACACTGAACAAGTTCCAAAGAATCGAAAATACGGTTGAACAGGAAAAGATTATATTTCCAAATAGCAAAGTTTAAATGGAAATAAGAAGCCATAGGTGAAGGCGAAAATAGATACAACGTTAGTCTATTTATAGCATTTACATGAGAAGCTTCTGGATAGTAGTAATTCACGTAATCGACTGGATTAGATTTAGCCAATCAGCATGCAGCTAACAACACAAGCATTTTCTAGCCTGTTCTCCAGGTATGGAACGGGCGCTGATTGGCTAGGAAATTAGCCAATCAGCGACGTAGTCATGCTTTAATTCCATCTATGTCCTACTGACATGCGTTCATATGCTGTTTGTTTCTTCAGGATCATTGATCGCATCTGAAGCATTGGTTTGAAATGGAGGGTGGTTACCCATTTACCTCGGTGGACCCTTCAAACTCACTAAATCGATTTAAGCCTCAACCAGATATTTGCTTTTCTTCCTATCTATTTGGTGAACATCTTCCATGCGATGGTAACAAGATAATAAGTAGTGTTTCCATGGCAGTAGCTATACACACGTTGCTATATGGAAGAGGATCCAGAGACGGAGAGCGAGAGCTTAAGCTTAAAGATTACCAAGGTAAATTCAAGGTTATGACAAATTGTTTCTGTACACATAAGGGCGGTGGTTTAAATTTTCTAATAGCCAACGCCTCCCTCTATAAACCTCAAAATTCGTGTCCTTCAACATTTCTGTACAATATTTTTGAAGGCTGTCTTGATGTCGTCAATCTTATGTGCTCTGTCTCAATTATGTGTTTTGCGATCGATGAACATGGTTTTCCCATTTCCAACGCTAATCGA